TCATACACTATATATATACACTTAAAATGGGTTAAATTTATAGGTTAATTCAATCAAATCCAATCCATTAGTTTTAATGATCAACTAGATTAGGTCAAAAATGGGTTAATCGGATTGATAGATCGAATAAAGTGAATTAGAATGAGTTGAATTACCTATTCTATTAAAACAAAAACATTTTTAGTGTCTGTTTCCAAACACACCTAGAAGTTTTTTAAAATATTTAATTTTATATTATATTTAATTTTAAAATTAGTTATTAATTTAAATATTGTTAGATTTCCTTAAATATAGATCATATTTATTTAAATTTCGAATTTTTCAAAATGTTATTAATTAAATTTAATTTACAATTCAAAAATATAATTTAATTTTATTACTAAAATTTAAATAATAATTTTAATTACTTTAAAATTCCTTAAATATATGTTAGATTTAATTTAAAATTTTGAATTTAAACAATATTTTCATAATAACGCAAATAATAAACAAATGTTTTATTATATTTATCATAATCAATTGATTTAAAATATCAGATATTTAGTATTATTAAATATTTATATTATATAATAATATGATAGAGCAAACTAGAGTTATGCATGTATAATTACAGTCTTATATTAATTAGTTTGTTAAAATATATAAGATATTAAAACTAATTTGAAACAATTAAATAGATAGATTAGCCAATTCATAAATATATAGATTATTTATGTGTAAATTTAATATCTTACATATTTTAAATAATATTTTCATAATAGCGCATATAGTAACAAATGTTTTATTATATTTATCATAATAAATTGGTTTAAAATATCAGATATTCAATATTAGTAAATATTTATATTATATAATAATATGATAGAACAAGCTAGAGTTATGCATGTATAATTACAGTCTTATATGGATTAGTTTATTAAAATATGTAAGATATTAAAAACTAATTTGAAACAACTAAACGGACGGATTAGCCAATTCATAAATATATAGATTATTTATGTATAAATTTAAATTTACATAATAACAAAGTTTATAATTAATCATTAGATCAATATATACTTAATTAACTCATATTCTTATTTTGTTAATATACAAAATTATACTATTTATAGTTAAAATATAATAACAAAATTTTTGATTTTAAAAAATAAACAACAAAAATAAATAATATTAATATATATATATATTATATTAAAAATAAAAAATAAAAAAAAATCTCGTGCGTCTGCACGAGATTAAAATCTAGTTATGGGTTAATAGAGTATAATGGTTAGCCATTAATCTACTATTTTTTAACAGAAAAATTTAAGTAAACCAAAATCAAATATGTAAATGAACATTAACATATCTAACCATAATTAATCAATATCGATTTACAGTAACAATTTTATTGAGTTAGAGACTTAGAGTTTTGAATAGCTGTGTATGACCAAATTCAATTCCGTGATTTTTCCTCTCACAACTTAATTTAATTATTAAACAGAGTTTTTATGTTTTGGTAGAATGTACTATTGGACCTGGTGACTGGACCACCATAAATATATATTAGACTTATACAGTGTAATTAGGTTACGGATTGTATCAAATTATTTACCCTGTATATTATGCATTGCCTAGTGTATTTAATAGACTAAGAAATCTTTTTGCAACTTATAAGGATTCTAACATGGTATTAGAGCCATAACCAAAAAAATCTCTATTAAATCAAAATTCTCTAATAGATTTAATATCTCGATTACTATTTTTTTTTTTATTCATTTGTTTGACCTCGTCTTCTTTAATCCCTTTTTATTGAAGCTCTCTCAATGTCAAATGATGAAACAGCACGTTGTTATTGATTGATATTCGACCACTAAAATGAAATCCAAAACTTGTGTTGAATATTTTCGATGGATTATCTCTCTGTGTCATTTAATTTTCAGTAACACCACAAAATTTATCTTTCAATCGCTGTTGCGTGTCCTTAACTACAACGAATGGTTCACACAAATCTGTGCTCAGCTCTTCAAACTCAGCTTGGAAAAAAATTCGGATTTGCACTTTGCAGACCGGTCTATTCCTCCATGTGGCGAGGATATTCATAAGATTTTTAGGATTTGTGTGCATATAATGAACTTTTTGTATCGTAGATAAAACTCACTATAGTGGAATCATTATGATCTTTTATCCCCTCATTGATGTTTCTCACGAGCTTTAGTCACAATTACAAAGACGTTTTGCTGTGAAAACGGACGTGTTTAACATCTAAAACAGAATTTACAATTGTTTTCGAAAGGGTCTTGCAATTGAGGCATAATAAGGGAAATCAACTCAATTGTCGACCATTTATTTGACTATAAATTTGCAAAAAGCTACTAAAAAAATCTAAAAAGAAAACGTGAAGAAAACAAACTTCGTCAATCTATTCATGGGAGTTGATAAAATAGTGTACGGTTCTATCAAACTTTTTCAGAAATTGTAAAATGGATTTCATAGTATTTTATTAAGATACCACCAAGCATTGTACTCTCTAACAATTGTAGCTTAATTTTTGTTCACTCTCTAGAATGTCTGAATAGATAGAACATCGAATATTATCGCTATACCTACAGACATTCCTTCCAGTCACATTTTGTAGAATCGTGATCGCTTATGAAAAAGTTATATCGACTCAGTCTAAATCAAAGAACTTTGGAATATAAAATAAGTTATCTAGATAAAAGGGATGTGTAACGAATAGATTCACTGGAATATGTCTCGAATACACCAAAAGAAATAACAAAAACAAAGCTAAAGTAGTTAAGCTTTATCGAAAGAAAAGAAAAATAAGATAAATTTGTTGGCTTGTAAGGGACGGGTCAAATTTGAGTGACGTGGTTTCACACTAAACCAGAGAGTCGAATGAACCTTTTTGACCGTCGATTTGAGACATTAACTCCATACCGTTGGATCTGTCACTTTTGGAAGAGACCTCTATTCTCTCCATTTTAGACTAATAAACAAGGGTTTGAATGTGTTCTGTTTTTCACTTTTCTTTTGTGTATCATGACGTATGCCTATATTACCCAACATATATAATATATATTCAACATAAACCATGAATTGTCGCTAAATTTTAAATAAATGAAAGGTAATTTTTTTGGTTCAAAAATAAATTAGAAACGCAATGTATGTATTGTTTGCCTTTTTAATTTGCAACCAATGTTTCAAATATCAATCTTTCAAAAACAAAAATTAATGTTTCAAAAACCATCATTATTATTATTATCTTAATAACATAATATTTTGATAATTTTCTCAAAATATATATATATATATATATATGTTTAAAGCAAATTGTTAAATAACAAAGTCAAACAAAACAATTATTTTTTCCTTTTTATCTTGACTCAAGTATTTTGTTTCCAAGGGTGTAACTAAAAATCTATTTATCAAGTACGCTGCGATGATTTCAGCTTCTGACTTGGTCTAAGTGGGCAGAGCAAAGGTGTGCTGGTCCAGATGTCCAGCTCTATTTTTTTTAAAAAAAAAAATACTTCCCTTATAGTGAAAGGCCCATTTTTACGAAAACGTTTAAATTAAATCAAAACAATATAGTGGTATAAAACTATAAATGGTGTATCAAAACATGATTCTGTAATTTTACCAGTTATAATATTTATTGTTTTTATATCTTCACCTCTGTGAAGAGTGATTTTGGAATATACAGCTATATATAGTTATCTCATATAAATTTTATCCAGTTCAATTCTTTCCGCTTACAATTATTCAGTTATTTTTTTTATGTAATTTTATCTGATATATCAATCAAATCTAATCTTTAATAGAAACTAAGAGATGACAAAAAAAAAAAAACTAAGAAAATTTAGAAGAAAAAAACTCCTAATTTAATTGGACCGAAGCTAATAAAGTCTTTGTCCAAATTTTTTGTGAAAGCTTTGTTTCTGTCATCATAACACCACATCTTGTTGATGATACAGTAAAACCTCTATAAATTAATAATGTTGGGACCATAATATTTTATTAATTTATCGTGATATTAATTTATCTATAAATTAATAATGTTGGGACTATAATATTTTATTAATTTATCGTGATATTAATTTATCTATAAATTAATAATTATTAATTTATAGAGAAAATTTGCTTTCTGTATATAATTTTTAAAAATTTATTTGAAATAATATTATATTTTAAAATTTTAACAAATCTTATAATATAAATTATGATTAACAATTATAACTATCATAATAAAATAGTTTTTAACATCATATTGGATTGTCCATGTAAAAAAATATATGTTCATAAGTTTAAAATTTATAAAAAAAAACCATGGCTACTATCAGTATTAGTGATGATAAATTGAAAATAATACTACAATACATTTAAAAACATTTACATGTAAGAAAATCAATTATCACATCAAAAAATTATCATAATTTTGAATGTATATAGTAAAACAGCAATAAGAACTACTGATATAATAGAGAACCAATGAGATTTCAACTTTAAGTAAAAACAAACACATTAGTCATATTTTAAAATATTATATTTACATATATTTACATAAATTTATATAATTATTAATTTATGTTTTTGTTGGGACCATATATTTATATAAGAGTTTCGAAAAAAATTATTATTTTATTATCTTATCGAATTTGATGAATTTTTATATTAGCCCGATTTGAGACCAACAAAATTTATTAATTTATAGTGATTATTAATTTATCGAGTATTAATTTATGGAGGTTCTACTGTAGTTTGATTCATTTCACCAGACTACATTTAGATGAATATAAGTTAAGTTCTATGTCTCCTAGTTCTAGCTTCTTTACATATATCATTAGAAATTGTTGCAATACTTACATTTGATAATTTCATCAAAGGCTTTTATTCTTGGATCAATAAATTCAAAACTTTCTCGAGTAATCATCGATGAAAGTGGTAGAGTCTACCTCCTAGACTAAATTTTGTCGATGGAGAACCCCAAATAATAATGAATGTAATCGAGTAGTGCCTTTGCCTTGAAGATTTCACAAGTGAATCATAACAACAACTCTCAACGCTCTGTTACAAGTGAGTCATAACAAGAAACATTAGTAATATCACAAGAAAAGTTAGAGGTATCACAAGAAACATAATAGTATCTTTGCCTTAGAGAAACATTAGTTGGCTTTTGCTAGTCTAAAACTGAGTGATTTGTTGGATTTTGCGAGCCTGGAAAAATTTGCAGCGCCCTTTCCCGCTCGATTCGATTTCTTCGCTCCTACTCTCGCATGTTGTGAACCCAAATCTACTTAGCTTTGACTGTCGCTTGTTGCTATTTCCATTACCACTCTCGTCAGCTTCATCTGATTCCCTGTCCAAGTGCATCAAACATCATATTCAACAAGTGAAGATTCTGCAATAGAATGAGATAAATGAAGGATTCAAATTCAATAGAGTATAGTAGCAATTCGAAAAAACTAACCATGTAACTTCAACCTCGCCTTTCAAATGTGCAGTGCAAGTTCCCCAACTGAAACGGACAAGTGATGGGAATCCAAACACAGAATGTTTGTGTTGCTCTAACCATGCCTTTGTCTCAGGATCTAAATTGTATTACAAACAATATTAGTGCGTAACAGTTGCTAAAAACATAAGCGATTTGAGGGAACGAAAAATAGTATACCTCCAGGATATCCAGAACCAAACTTTCTGTTTATATCTTCACCGGTTTCTTCTACCAACCATTCTCTCACCGCTCTGTCTCTTGTCACCTGAGAAGGTGATATGTTTAGTGACTTCTAGCTACTGAAAAAGCTTCGAGATAGATATTGAGAATCCATAACATATCTTACCTTAGCCACAATACTTGCCCCACTAACAACAGGATATAGACTGTCAGCTTTCTTCGAAACGACAAACTTTATCGAAGGAAACCTCGCAGACAATTTTATTCTGTACTTCTCAGGATCTCCCACAGTATCTAGGTAAGCCTGCAAAGCAATTTAGAGCTCTGAATCTAGCAGATATACATATATATGGCAAATAAGCTTTTCTCTCGAACGATGATGCTTTTGTTTCCATCATAAGCTACTCACCTCGGTCAGAAAAACTCCCATGTCTAGAACCTGTTTGATGAGCCCCATTGCGGAGTTATGCGAAATCTCATTTAAATTGATCTTGTTTCTGCAAGAAAACAAAACCAAAGCTATTTGATACAAGAACCAATCGAGCCTGTCAAATCTGCTAGCTTCAAAATATATTATACTATTACTAACTTTGCGAGCATCTTGGCTGAGAGTTCCCTAGGACCAATGACATCGACGGCCCATCCAAGTGACTTGTCAAGCTTTAAACTTTCATATAATTCTTCTCTTTTCTCCTCTTTTAGAGTCTTTGAATCTGCAGGCATAGCAGCAAAAGGCTTGAGTGGAACAAAATGAGGCAAGAGATTATAAATGTGATAAAAAAGTGTCATGCTTACTTATCCCTTCTCAAATTGGAATCTCGAAGTACCATGCTTAAACTAACAACTAAACGAAAGGTTAGAAATTTGACAAAGGGTTTTAGTAATGGACTTAGAATCACCTAACTGGTTGCTTGTAAGACCACTAGTACAAGATATCCAATCTAAATGAAAGGTTAGAAATTTCATAAAGGGTTTTGGCTAATAGGCTTAGAATCACCTAATTGGTTGCTTGTAAGACCACTAGCACAAGATATCCAATCTAAACGAAAGCATAGAAATTTGATAAAGGGTTTTGGCTAATAGACTAAGAATCACATAATTTGTTGCTTGTACGACCACTAGTACACGAAGAAACTACTCAATGCATCTCAAATCACAATTCTTTAACATAAAGGAAAGTAATTTGACCTGCAAAATGGAGAGAGGCGAGAGAAGACTGGTAGGAAATGGGGCAGTACAAACATCCATAAACCATTGGTCCTGTTTGTCAACAAAACTGATAAGATTCTTCTTCCACACTCATCAAAGAAGAAGAAAGGAGAAAAGAAGAAGACGAAAAACCTAAAACAGGACCCCTCCCCGCTTCGTCGATTCCCATGAGGCAAGGTTGAGATGCCCATTCTGGCGTGAATTCCATTCCTTTAAACAAGCAGACGTAAAAATGGGTTTTAGGGTTTTGGTTCTCTTGAGTTTTGGGCAGCTTCAAACTAAAGCCTTTGGGTTTCTATAGAAAAAGGAAGACTACTCCCAACAGAACCACGCTAAGCTAAAGTTTCCGGTTATAAGACGAAGTGAAAGGAGACTGAAACAGTAAAACCTGAGTAACCGATAGATCCGATCCAGAAGCTCACCTAGAGCTCGGGGAACGGTAAACCTAAGCCTAGAAGAAGATCACGGAGGAAGAAGGGTCTTCTCGGAGGTCAAAAATCAATGGTGGATTGAAGATTTAGATGATGACAGAGTTTAGAGGAAGAAGATGATTTTGATATTCTGATTGATTCTCATATTTGGCCAAAGAGCCTTACATATAGTGATTAAAGTTTTATGAACCGGAATTACAAACCGTAATTAATATAACTACTAAACCAAGATAAACCAGAGGATATGGAATAATCCTGTAACAATACTCCCTCGTCGACAACATCCTTGTCCTCAAGGATGACAAGTTGGAAGCTCCTTGATGAATTTGATGGAACGTCAATGCAACTTGGTCTGGAGGATGCACTTTCCAATGGACAAAGACCGTGATGAATGCTTTGTTGTGGTGGTTAACCTTCTTCTTGGCACTGTTTTCAACAAACGGGGATTGTAGCAAAAGTATAGCAGTAGTGGTGGAGGTCGGATAGAAGAAATAGCATTTCTCAGTTGTTACCTCTAGCTTCGGGACTAATCCACTAAGCCACTCAAAACCATGCTTGATCCTCATAATGTAAAGCATAACAACACAGAGCATATAACTGAAAATGTGTGCATTATCCAACTTCATTTTACCAGAGATCAATAAGTCCTCAAAATTGTCGGCTTCTGTCTTGAAAAGAAGGTATAATTGCAGAACCGTAACAGAGATTATAGAGGCAGGAAAGCCATCGATAGAATGAGCAATGTAGAGTGTTCCAGAATGTGTATGACCAGATTCACAATCACAATTTATGGCTCGGTTCCATATATCAATCAACCAAGTGAAGTAGTCCAGACCTGAAGAACTTGGGGGTTCAGTACTAAACTGCTTCAAATCGTTGTAGTGTGTCCAAAATCCAGGATGCAGCAGCTTGTGGTTCTTGAGGAATAAGAGCTTGGGGTCCTTCTCGAGCTTACCCAACCTCTGAAAGCTCTTCTTTATTGTCTTGAAATCTGGAGGTCGTGGCAGTGAACCATAGAGTAACTTAAGTGATGTGCTGTAGAAACCAACAACTCTAAGCCTCATGAAATCGCCATCTCCATAGTCACTGACCAGATAAGAGAGCTGGTGTGTGTTTTCATCTAGACTCACGAACTCTTCTTCACCTCTACGGTCAACTTGATTAATCTCAAGTTCACTAATATATCCATCAGCTGTACCAACCTCACGTTCTTTTGTTACCAAAACTAATATGACCTTACCATCCTTTAAGAAATCATTCTTTCTCTTCTTAGCATCAGCTTCAACGCTCTTCAAAACAGTGGCGTGTAAGCCATCAAATAGATGAAATGTAGGAATTAACCTGCAACATTCCAGCAACACCACCATTCTAAACTTAGATCTCCATTTGTGCTTCAAATGGAACTTCATACGAGCAAAAGTAAGCTGTCTCAAGCCTACAACTAGCAGTGTTCTGTTTCTTAGCAAATCAGGCACGTTAAAAACTTCATCATGACCAGCGTGACCCTTAGCTTCAGATATAAGCCCAACAAGTATTCTCAATACACCATTCCTTCTGCGAGACTGAAACTCGAACGGTTCCAGTAACACACGTTCTGATCCCTTTTTATTTCCGGCTTCAATGTTCATCAGCGCATGCTTTCCTTTATCATAAACCAACCGTGACTGCATCTTTTCACTTGCAACTAAAGGCTCCTCACCAGGTGTTTTTCCTCCAACGAAATCAACATACATCGATTCCAGCGGTAAATAAGCTTTGTAGTACGAGTATATTGAGCCAAACTTCTCCAATAAGACTTTGTTATTCTCGCCTATTCCATCTAGAAGCAACTGGTTATCTTCGTCCAAAGGCAGAGATATGACCTTTGAGGAAGTTACAAGAATTACAACTCCATGTTTCAACAAAAGAGTGGTTCCATCTGTCGATTTGTGTGCCTCTGAGTTGTCTTTGAACTTGTATTTCCAAGTCTTTGACCACTTCTGCTTCCTCTTTCTAGTTCTCAGCAAACCTTTAAGCATCTGATCTGCGCAATCCAACTTTGTAACAACAGAAAACTTCTGAGGCATCTCAACCTCTCTTGGAACATAACCAATTTGTTCCACCACAGCACTCACGTAATCGACAACCTCTTGGGTTTCTATGTCCATAATCGATGATTCTGGAGTTAACTCAGTCACTTTACCATAGCCCCTCAATATACTAGACAGCCTGTGCATTAACCTCATCGATTTACCATCTTTGTAACATTTTTCTAACCCTTTCCACTTATCATGTTCAGTCGCTATTCCACCAGGTTCCCACATTCTATTATTCCAAGATGAAATGAGTTTCATCACCTTGTTTTGCTCATGTTCATCCTCTTTTTCGTCTTCTTCATAAAGAGGCTTGAACTCCTCTAGATCCCAATTCACCACTTGCATCTGAGGATATAGAGACGTTTCAAACTGATGTGATTCTTGGTGTGACTTCGATTCTTTCTCTGGCCAGTCCCAAAAATCCAGAGTAGCCGGTAAACCACCTGGCGCCCATACATGACCAGTCTTATGTGAGAACAAGAGCTTATCATTTGATGAACTGATCAGCATTGTTGAATCCTCCTGATACTTCTCTGATAATGAGAAATCAACATGAGATCCACAATTGGCAGAAATCGTTGGAGATTGCGTGCCCTCCAGGTGTTCGATGTTTTGCCCCGAGAGGTGGAGTCAGCTTTTCCTCTGCTATGGTTTTAACCGGATTCTCTTCTTGATTCGAATGAACAGGATTCAACTCGTTATCATTAGAAATTTGGTCATATTCACATTCCGTCATGAAGATCTGTGCTCTCTTGTGTTTCAAATGATAATGACCGGGGGTATCAAGTTCTTCACAAAACAAACACAACCCATTTTCCATTCTCTCATACACCTCCTCACATGAGTATGTTTTCATGATTTTGTGCCCTGGAGAAATCGCACAGCTCTGATACCAATGAAACAGTAAAACCTGAGTAACCGATAGATCCGATCCAGAAGCTCACCTAGAGCTCGGGGAACGGTAAACCTAAGCCTAGAAGAAGACCACAGAGGAAGAAGGGTCTTCTCGGAGGTCAAAGATCAATGGTGGATTGAAGATTTAGATGATGACAGAGTTTAGAGGAAGAAGATGATTTTGATATTCTGATTGATTCTCATATTTGGCCAAAGAGCCTTACATATAGTGATTAAAGTTTTATGAACCGGAATTACAAACCGTAATTAATATAACTACTAAACCAAGATAAACCAGAGGATATGGAATAATCCTGTAACAGAGACGAGAGACTCAGAAGAAATCTAGAGAGCTAAGAAAATCGGAGAAGGTGCCCGATTATTCCCGGCGAGCGATATCAACCGGAAAAATGAGTTTGACGGTTTAAACTCTTTTCTAATTTTGGCTGCTTGCCGGTTTGATTTGCCAGGTAGGTTAAATGTTTTTTTGTTTCTCTTTTTTTTTTGTCGTCAATTAAGTCCATAAAGGACAAGCCCAAAACGGGCAAAACAAGGGTACAAAGTTTAAATCCATATCAAAGCCCAAAAGGTCAAAAATTACAAAGAGAACACGGAGAAATTGCACATTTAAATCCTCAACTATTTGCAATCGGCACAAAAAATACCCAACTATCAAAGTGGCAAAATAATTTCTCAAGTTGTCGTTGACCACGCAAATTAGGGATTAATGAAGTCAACAGTTAACTCTCTAAACGGTCGTCGTTAGTATTACTCTCGTTTTAATACACGAGTGAACTAAAAACCCCAAATAAAAAAAACCTAAGACGATATCCGGCGAAGCTTACCCAGGTCCGGCGAGTTTGCAGAGCTCTGATTTCATTGAGAAAGCTTGAAATCCGGCAGAGAAATCATGAAGAACATCATGAAGAACAAGAATGCTTGCCCAGAGACGGACATAAAATCATTTACAAAGACATCGCTTATCCACCCGAAATCTGTAAGTGTCGATTCTTTTAGCTTATTTTTCTATCCAGATTTGAGTAAGTAGAATACAAAATTGAATAGAATTGAAATCGTTTGAGTGTAGGAGGAGAAAAGTTCATACTCTAGGAATGAATTTGGGAGTTCATCTAAGTATGGGTTCATCAATGGAAAAAAGGGATTTCCAAAACAATGTGTGTGTGGAAGTGATGTTACCATCTATACATCAGCATCAAAAACTAATCCTGGACGTCCTTACTTTCGTTGTGCTGTTTCCAGAGAGGTAAGTTACTACTGCTCTCTACCTTTGTGTTTGTTATGTTTAGCTAAACTCTTGGTTTGTTCATGAGAGTGATAACGGCTATTTATGATGATACACACATCTGTTTGCATTATATGTAGAATGGGCATTTGTTTAAATGGGTCGAAGATGGGATATATGAAGAAGTGATCGACTTGTTAGAAAGAAAATCCGAGAATGAGAAGGGGATTATGGGAGTGAATGAGTTGAAGCTTGAGATGGAAAGTGTGAAAGATCAAGTCATTCAATGCAAAACTGAGATACGCAGATTCAAAATCAACAACTTGGTACTCATTGTTTGTATTTGTGTTTTGGCTTTTGTGATCATTTATCACCTCATGTTGCACAAAAGTGTCGGAAACACACTTTTATTTGGTAACAAA